TGATGGGAACGTCAATATCGGCTTCATAGTCCAAAATGATGAAGTCAGCGGGAAAGATGAATTTATCTACTTTGACTAGTAGATCTTCCACCTTACCCACTGGTTTGACAATGGATCTATCTGCCATTTGTGATGTTATCGTAGTTGGTTTTGCTGGTCTTGTGGCTAATTGTTTAAAAACTGATGAAGCCATGAGATTGATGCTTGCCCCTAAGTCACATAAAGCTTTGCCTTGATAAATGTTTCCTATTACACAAGGAATGGTGAAGCTTCCCGGATCTTGTAATTTTGGTGGAAGTTTGCCCAAGTATTGGCAGTTTTCTTGTGTCATTTTCACGGTTTCATATTCCGTTATTCCTCTTTTTTGGAGAGAACATCCTTCATGAATTTGACATACTTGGGAATTTGTTCCAGTGCATCCACCAGAGGTATGTTGATGTGGAGTTGTTTTAAAATCTCCAAAAATTTTCCAAACTGCTTATCATCTTGTTGCTTCCTTGTTCTTTGGGGAAACAGAATTTTGACTGGTACTTGCTTTGTTTATGGTGGACTGCTTGTTCTGCTGTTGTCTATTGGGGTTTCATCAGTCTCAACTTCTTCATCAAGCTCTAGGTTTTGTTCGACAGCTGCTTATTGTGATACTTTTGGAAATGCTTCAGGCGGCTTGTAACGTTCCTCCCTAGTGTCTTGGGTTGAGGTCTGGGGAGCTGATGCAGTTTGTGTAGTAACTCTCCCACTTCTTAGTGTGACTGCCTTGATCTGTTCTGGTTGAAATTTGGGGGGGACGTCAGCATCCCTTGGCAAAAGTTCTGGTGTCCTCTTCTTGAGGCTAGCAGCTATCTGTCCCAGGTGGGATTCAATATTTCTGACCACAGCATCGTTCCTGGTGACATATTCTTTTACATAGCTTTCAAGGGTATTGATGCGTTGGTCTTTCCTAAGGAACGAAGCATAATTGGTTCTTCTTTGTGGTTCATATACTCCATTTCCACTGCTTCTACCTTGTTGATACTGTTGTTGCTGGTTGTTGTATGGTTTCTGGTTCATGGGTGGTCTCCATTGTGGATTATGGTTCTGATCCTTCACTATGGTTCCTCCAGGGTTTTGATTGTTGTTGCTTCCTGCATTCTGAGTGTCTCTGTCCTGGGTGAAGTTTCTGTTCCCAAAATTTTCTGCATAACACACCAAGGCAGTAGATGGACAGTCTGTTGAATCATGAAGGTCACCACAAGCTGAACATGGTTCATTCTCAGTTGCTGTGAGTTGTAAGACTTCCATCCTTGGTTGTTCTTGATCAGCTTTCAGATTCTTCACCTCATTCATCGGTGTGGCCAGCTGGGATTCCATGGCAGTTTGTTTGTCTAATTCTAGCATGCCTGACTTCCTTACTGGGCTCATCTGTTCCAGTGGCTATTGGAGACATCTTTCTGCAGTGCCTTCTATGATTTCATACATGGATTCAAGGGTTCTTGTAAAAAAAGTATCCTCCTACAACAAAGTCTAAATGTGATTGAGAAGTATGATCTATGCCTTTATAGAAAGACTGTAAAATTCCCCAACTCTCCACCCCATGGTTTGGACATTTTCTGATGATGTCTTTATATCTCTCACAAGCTTCATAAAGATTTTCTCCATAAAACATTATAAAGTTAGAGAGTTTTGCTCTAACATCAGCTTGACGAGACATAGGGAGAAACTTTTCTATGAACTTGTTAGAAAGTTCCTCCCAAGAGTGTATGGATCCAGGGGTGAGAGTTTTCATCCATGTTTTTGCTTTTGAGTCTAGGGAATGAGGGAACAGCCTCATTCTCATACTTTCCTCTGTCACACCCTCAGCTTTGAAATTTTCACAGATGTCTTGAAAGTTTGTGAGGTGTGTATAAGGATCTTCTGCAGGGAGTCCATGAAAGACTCCAGCTTCCCTTATCATGTGGAACATGATGGGTTTTAATTCAAAATTGGGAGCTACAGGAGGGAGGATTACTCCCCTTTCTGGTCTGTTCCTGAAGGGAGCAGCCAAAGCTCTAAAGTTCTGTTCAGGAGGGATTTCATCATTGTTATTGTTATGATCAGCCATGTTTTCAAAAAATATTTTCCCTGAGATTTCTTCTTCTTCTATGTAAAGTGCGTTCTGGCTCAGGGTCAAAGAAGAACTCAGGTATTTCAGTGGAGTGGTGAGAATCAGTTTCAGACTCTTCACTTATAAACCATAAAACAGATAATATGAATCAGCAGGTTATGTGAATAAAATAAAAAAGAAAATGAAATATACAGAGTATGTATGTACTTAAAACAGTAATAAGGACAAAATTTAGTGTATCTATCACCGACAACGGCGCCAAAAACTTGTTGGGTCAAAGCTTGTTGGGTGGAAAATATTTTATGTTGTAAAACGTTCCTCAGTTCATTAAGAGAAAACACATTTGCTCTCTTTATTTCAACCCAAGTGCGCAAGTGCACGCATTAAGTAATAAATGAGAGTATTAATGCCCAGATTATCGTTCCCACGAGGATGGAACTCTAATTAATGCCTTATACTATTTCACAAAGAATGAAAATGAAAAGAAAAGTTAGTAATTGACCTATTTGGTCAAACGTTCTCTACTGTCTTGACAACATTCCTCAAGGATAGTAAGTTCAATCTGACAGCAAACAGTTCATCGCTTCGTTATGTATGTTATCCTTCTTTTTGAGGGAAGGAACAACAATATGTTAGTATTGTTTAGAATTTAGAATTTAAATTTAGAATTTGAATTTAGAATTTGAATTTAGAATTTAAATGTTTGAACGTTTGAATTTAAATGTTTGAATTCGAATTTGAATTGGCTATGAAAAGTTGTTTCATAACAAAAGGATAAGATAAGATCTTGTTGGAACAAATCCCTAGTATCAAGAGGAGATATTTGAGCATCATCCAAGGTTGTTTGGGGCGCTAATTTGGGTTGTTATGAGTGTCATTTAGTCAACCAAATAAGCTCCAAATCAGATTTGGTTGGTTGAGAGAATAAGTGAGTAAGTTGGTTCAAATTTGAATGCAACTACTCAATGTATTTGGACTGCATTGTGGACCAAAGGGGTGCACCATATGACTGGCCATATGATTGTCATTAGGTCAGAATTTTGACAAGGTTTAGACCTAGTCTCATGAGGATTAAAAGATAGGTTGTTGGAAAAATTTGAATTGCAACAACTCCACCTTTTTCTCCCTTGGTGTGCGCCACTTTGATCAGATTTTTAAGTGAAATTTTTTGACTTGAATGCTTAGACTCTCTCATCTCCTTTGGTCATCCTTTTGTTAGGTTTTCTTAAGAGAGTTTTGAAGAATATCCTAGCCACTTCTCATCAATTCCATGCGCCACTTTTGTGAAGTTTTAAGCTGAAAATTTCACTCATCTAAACACATTAACCTTGCCTCATCCTTCATCTATTGAACACCTAGCCAGCCTTCTTTGTGGTGTTTAATTGGTGGCTTTTCAAGAAGGGTTATTGCATCTTGATGTAGGGTGGTGTGGATCAACATTAGAGGGTTTGAAGCCTTTCAAACCTTACATTGATCACCTTGGAGTTTTAATCACGAACAAGGTATATCATCACGTCCTAAAGTACATATCTTGATTGGCATGTGTGTTTTCGCTTTTGAAAAATTTTGTTTTCATCCTCACATGCCTATGGCCTTCAAGGCCATTCTTTCATGTTGTTGACCTATATATTTGAGAATTATTAGATAGTTAGGAAGTATACAATATCTTAATATTTATTTGATATTTGATTGAACAACTGTGGATAATTGTGTAATGTTTAATATGAGGTTAAACATTAAATATTTGATATTATGATATTTAATAATCTAAAATTTTTGTGTTTGTTTTTCTTCTTCGTCTTCTGAAGTTAATTTTATGCAATAATTTATATACAGTAATTTGCTTATTACTAAAAATTTAGAAATATTTTTTTTATTGCCAAAATTTAGAAATATTTATTCCTTTATTTGATTACGAATAGAAATTTAATAAAATATATTATGGGTAACCATCTTCAACTAAAAAAACAACGAGACACCTTCTGCATCGTAAAACTATGTTTGTCATTAATTTTTTTGTTATTCATATGTGTATACTTCAACCGATTTCTTTTAATTTATATGTATCAGGATTTTTTTTTGTTTTTTTATAAACTACACGTTGGTCTCTTAATCTTGATTTTTGTCTGAAACCTTATGATATTCTTTTTATTTTTTTTCCTAAACCTTTTTTTAATGACTGATTTTTCATCTTTTGTAAAGAGGGGAGCCATTGAGAAATAGAGACAGATGCCTTTGAAACCTCTTTCAAAAAATTTATTATTGCAAATTTTTGGAGATACTAATATAACTTTCATAGAATCTATTATAGACACCATTTAATATTAAGTTCCAAATCTCTTATTTATTTTATCTTTTAATAATTGTGTCCTAGAAAATTTTATTTATAAATTTTATTTAAAATTTACATTAATTTTTACGAGACAAACTTTCTTTTTTCTTCGTAAATTTTTTTTTTGGTAGGCTACATGAAATACTACTTAGTTATCATAATCAACATGCAAAAGTGGATAAATATGCACGTTAATATTAGCATTTTACGAGATCAGAAATTCAAGTAAAATATCAAAATTCAAGAATTAGAACAAAAAATCTATTCAAAATAATTAGCTTAGTAATTAGAGTTATAAATAATCTCTCTATATATATATATATATATATATATATATATATATATATATATATATATATATATAATATGCATAAATAAAATTTAAATAAGAGAACTGATTTTTACTTTTTGTTGTTGTTGTTGGTAGAATCTGATTTTTACTTCAATTCAATCAATTTTTGTTTCTTTTCTAATTCTTGCTATAGTGTCGAAATCATATACAGTCTTCAGGTCAAGTAAATGGGCATATTATGACAAGCTGGAAATATTATCTGATTATGATTTGGCAGTAATTCAGGGACCACACTCACAGCACAGGCCATCCCCAGAAATGAAAGCCACACTGATCTGAAACAAAACAAAGAATAAGAAAGCAATATCACTTCTTCATCCTTCTTGTTATTCTTCTCAATTTCTTCTCTTTAATTAGGGTTTTGCTCTCTATTATATTTTCACTTTCATTTTCCAATTCTACCCTTCCATGGCCGAGGTGATCAACATGCCGCCAGATTCTATCGACCAATCCCCCTCTGCTTCAGCTCCTCCGCCGCCTCCCGCCGCTCCTCCCGTCGCCGTCGACGATGATCTCCCGCCTCCGCCTCTTCCTCCGCCTTCGCGGCGGAGGGACCGCAGGGACGATAGGGATTTCGACCGCCACCCTAACCGCAGCCGCGGAAGCGATTACTCTGACCGGAACGTGTCGCCAAGGGACCGTGACAGGGACTTCAAGCGCCGACGCAGCCCTAGCCCTGGCTACCGTGACCGCCGTTATTCTCCTCCTCCTCCTCCGTCGAGACGTTCTCCTCCGCCGTATAAGCGACCGAGGAGGGGGAGCCCCCGCGGCGGCGGCGGAGGTTATGGACCTGATGAAAGGTGATGTAAGCTTTTGCCCATCGCTGGGGCTTTTGTTGCATGTGATTTAAATGGATGAAATTATGTTGATTGATGTAATTAATTATGTTTATAATCTACGTAACTGGGTAATTAGGTCTTGCATGCATCTAATTCATCGAGGGCTTAGATTGATGCAACTCGTTTTAATTTAGAGCTTTGGACCTGAAAGTTGTGTTTAGTTTGCCTGAAAGTTGTGTTTAGTTTTGTGGTGAAAATTGTAGATTGCATTGGTTGTTCACTTGTTGTTGAGACATTTAATTTAACCTTTTTCTCAACTTTGCCTGTTTGAGTAAGACACAGTTGATGGTGTAGTCTTTTTAATTTGTTTAATTTTTTTTTTTTTTGGGGGTGTCAGGTGTGTGTGCGCGCGCGGGGGTGCTTGCATATTTTTATTCTGATTTTGTTCTACAAAATTTAATTGCTGGATCGTATCTGTTTATTCAATTGCATTTGATTGCAGCGGCATTTTCTAACTTTTAAGGAGGTGTCTTTGGCACAACAACTTGATTTGGGTTAAAGATTAGGTGTTTGGGGTCTACTTGTCCTCAGGCACATGGCCATTTTAGACGGGGTTTCACTAACAGACATGTTGGGGGATTGAGCAACTTTGTTCCATTGAATTTTTATTTTTTCTTGTTTGTTTCTTTTGTTTAGGCTGGTTCCTTATCTCGACCCTTCTGCTTGTAATTTTTTTTCTCTTCATCTTATGAATCTTTTCTTTTATCGAAATATCTGTTTATTCAATGAAATAAAAATTGAGGATTTTAGAAGTCTTCATAGATTTTAAAGTGTTACATCGTCATGGATTTTGGTAATCTTTATGGAAATTTATTTTAAATGGGCATAATTCGTTTATATTGTGGATAACTAAGAAAAGAAGGGGAAAAAACATGAACACCTGTTGTCAAGGGTTTAGACATATGGCTATAAGCATAGTAGTTAATTGCGCCGCAATAGCTTCGCAAGCCGCGCCGTATGGGCGTTGCGGTGCCTCTCCGTAAGAAACCGCGTCGCGCTGCACCGGAATGCAATAGCGGCCATTGCGATTGCATTTGCGGTCATATTGCTGTCATAAGGCAAAATGTCAATTTTGTCCTAAATTTAAATGTGTAACAGAAAGAATTTAAGGGCTTTTTAGTCTATCCGCGTCTCTCTCTGTCACTTTTGCTATCTCTGCCTTTAAAAAATGTTTCTTTTTGTCATTATTTATGTCATATATCTATTCTGCTATTTCTGCAACTGCAACCCGCTATAACGCTATAGCGTTTTTCTGGGTTGGCCGTGACATGCCACAATCCGCATTTGATAACTATGGCTATAAGTTATTTTTTCCGTTTATTTATTAGGGTCCACGTGGAAGAACATTGCATAGTTTCTTGTGTTTTATGTATTTTTTCCCCCTTGACTTGATGTTAGGGGTTATCCAATTTTGTTCTACCTTTTGGATTTTCATTCTATTTCACTCTATTTTGTTTTTGAAGTGACGTCTCTATCCTAGGTTTCATTGAATTGTGACCTGTCTACCTGTGCAAGTTCAAATCCTTTAATGTTGGCAATCAGTTTCAACTTCCAAAAAATTGCAATGTTTATAGAACTATGTTGTTTTGAATTATAAATCTTATGTAGAAGAGGAAGAAATCATGCTAATCCAATCATGTTTCCTAAATAGCTAAAAAGAGTTGCAAGAATCCAATCATTTATTGATCTTTTTTTTTGGTGAATACTTCAAAACAAATCACAGAAGTTGCATAGATGAATATGTATATGTTCTACTGTTCTATTCATCTACGTTTATAAATGAAAATGTGTGCTTACAATCATGTAATTTCTGATATCTTACAAATCACGTCAATTGTAACATGACTACTTGTGGATGAATGGTTATTTGTTGATAGAGCGATGCAATACCATTTTCTTGCCATCGTATTATTATTTAAATTGTTTCTAGGAGATACATTGAAAGGAATTTTTTTTTAATATTTTTTTTTTAAGTTTTTGGTAATTGAAAAATCTTTTAGAGAGTATGTTTAACATGTTTGTGTTTCATCGTTTGCTTTTGAACTCTGTTTCTTTACATCCCTATTACCCTAGTCTATGCATCACACTTTTTACTAATATATATATTTTTATTTACTTCATTGTGTGAGTAAAGCAGATTTGGCTATGATTATTTTGGTGGTTATGAACGGGGAATGGGTGGAAGACCTGGTCACACAGATGAGAAGTCTTATGGCAGGTTCGCACATCGATCTGCTGGGGGATATCAAAATGGGATTTCCGGTATGTTAATAGTTGCTAATAACTAGGTTTTCCTTTCGTCATGTGAATGACATTTATCTATAGCTATAATACCAGTCTTACTCTTTTAATTGAACTAACTTAAACTCATCACATCCCACTTTTGAATGATAATCACTCTTTGATTTCATGGTTTCTGCATTTCATTTTGATGCTTATTATGAGTGTTAACTGGTACGTTACTGCTTAGTGCAGAGAATGTGACTGTTGTTTTGGAGATTATTCAATAGACATACTATTGAATCAACATGATTAATGCAGACGGCATGTTAAACATACTGTCTAAATTTTTTACCGTTACAACAAATATAAATATCAAAATCCTACATTTCAATAGTCAGTACATATCCTGTGCTGCTCTTTATTTTATTCAGTGTTCTTTGTATGACTGTCAAACATTACCTGATGCATGCTGCAGGAAATGTTTTATAAAAGTTCACTTTCATTTGCTTGGTCAGAAAAAAATTCTCAGATTCAATGATTTTTACATAAGATGTTGTAATTTACGGTTCTGTTCAGTCAGTGAAAAATGCTGAAATGGTTATAGGTCCTAAAAATCTGTAATCCTTTAAATACAAAAAATGGCAAGTGCAAGGAGAATTTGTATAATCTTATAAATATTAGAGTTCTAGTTATCCTTATAGTTGTTGCCATATATATATATATATATATTTTATGTTTAAATGTCAAATGTCTTGAAAATTGAATTATAGAAGGGAGAGTGTCATATACTCAGTGAGGTTCAGGCCTTGCTGTAACTGAAATCTGCAATTAAAATCGATTATGCCAGACCTTGCTTTTTCTGCTGTGATGATGCCCTTGGTCTCTTGGTTCTGTGCTGTGTGCTGCATGGGCATGTTGATCTTGACAAGGGGATGAGATGGGAGAGATGAGAGAAACCTCACTTAGTAAAATGCACATTTTAGATCTCTTGTTTCCTCCCCACAGATTAATGACAATGGGCCACAAACTGTAGCCCAAATTACTATGATTGAGATCTAACAAGTAAAATAAGAAATAAAAGTAAAAGACCGTTATTATGTAATGGTTTGTTTAACTGTTAGTTGTCATTTTAAAGGTATTTTGTCTATTTGTGTTACTTTTATGTGTGTGTGTAATTGTATATTTAATATAGCTTTTTATTAGAGGTAGGATCTTCTGTTGTGTTAAAATCTCAGTGCAAACTCTCCTTGTCCAGTCCACAAAGTTGACGGCCTTCTTGATTCTGATTGAATGGTCAGTCTGGTTCAGCTTGTAGAACATTGTACATGTAATGCTTAGGGTGTTTTTGGATAAGCTTTGAAAAAAATTGTAAAGAACCTTGAGGGCTCTCCCACATCTTCAGCTAAACTCCACTTTTGATGCTTGAAGAGTGGACAATGCAACAGGCCCAACCTACCTGTGCTAAGAAACGCCACAAGAGAAAGTGGGGGGCGGCGAGGCTCTGATACCATGTAAAGAACCTTTGGGATACACCACCCTAAAAGCTAGCTCAAAGGGTGGGAGTGCTCAAGGCCTTATAAAGGCCATATTAGTTGCCCACACAATCAATGTGGGACTATATATTTCAACACGCCCCCTCACGCAAGAGCCCTTTGGGCTAGAAGCGTGGAATTGCACAGGCCCAATCTTTGGTTTACCTTTTTGTGCTTTTTATTTTAATTCCACTTGAAAGTGGGAGGCGGTGAGGATCGAACTTGTGACCTTATAGTCACTCAAGCTCTGATACCAAGTAAAGAACCTTGAGATACACCACCCAAAAGCTAGCTCAAAGGTGGGAGTGCCCAAGGTCTTATAAACTCCACATTAGTTGCACATACAACCAATGTGGGACTATATATCTCAACAAAAATGCTTTTATGATATAGGTGTTTTTGAGAGTTGTTTTTTTTTTTTTTTTTGAAGCCACTCTTTCTAGCTTATAAGAAAAGTAACTAAACTTGCTGTTTTTTTGGGGCTTTTGGTTTTTTTTCCTCAAAAACTTATATTTTTTAAACTTTTTTTTAATTAAAAAAGCATTCTTTTCTTTTAAAAAGAACAAACTAACGGGCCCTTGATCCATGTCTGGATAAGATGCTGCAATTATGAACGAGTTATTATGTTGGGCTGGTTTACAGCAACCTTATTCATTAGTAAATTGTTTGATTCTCTACTAACCAATTTTTTCCATGCTGCTGTGTTGTAAAGTTGTAACCATTACAATCTTTTTTATGATTTATGTGTCATTCTATTGATAATATACTATAGATTTTTTCCTTTGAGCAATAAATTAATAATAACAATTTTTCTGATGCATTTCTAACTTCAATTTCTGCTTTATTCTCGGTGAAAAATCAAGACAAATGTCCTATTGAATTGAAAATTTAAAGAAATGTAAAATCACATATTTGAGTTTTATCCAGATTGAGGAATGGCATGGCAGGAGTCAATCAGAGAAACAAACTCTCTTTAACAACTAGAGTCTTTTGAAGTTTTGTTTTTTCATCATGTTTAAAAATTGTACTGCTATATTAAAAACTACTTTATCTTTATTCTTTTTTTCTCCTTTATCAATTCTTTTTGTTTACTTTTTTTCCTTAAGCCAGTCAGATTGTTTTCAAATTTTCCTTTTAAACTGAGCATTTAATCCGTAGTTTCTTGCACAGTGTAATTCTGTGTTATTCAATGACATGCATATAACTTTTCAGCAGTCATAAAAAGTAAAACGAAAATAAAATCTGGATTTAAGAAGTTTTTCTTGTATTCTTTTTGTTGGTTTAAGAGGGTACTCTTTCTCTCATGTGCCCTGCCTTCATTAATAAATATTGACCATAGTAATCAATCACGGGTAGCGGTCCACATAACTACACGTATATAAATGCTAAAAAATTAAAAAATTACCCAAATTTAAAGACATTTATTCATAATTAATGATACTCACTTTTATTCTAACCAAGGATCTCAAGGAACAAAAAAGAAGCAACAGAAATTCATTGAAAGGAACTAAACAAAATTGTGTGAGCTATGACTGATTAATTGAAACTGAACAGTGTTGAAATATTACAACTTATCTAAACTTTATTTATATAAATTGTGCAAAACTGTAAATTAAATTAATTACTAATGAACACATTATCACTTTAAATTAAAATAATTGTGTTATAGAAAATATACAATTATTCGAAATTAAATAATAATATATTAATTATTAGTTTAACTTATTCACAAAAATTAGCTAACTTTATCTCCTGGAGATCAAAACAGATTCAGAATGTAAGATGTTTTTTGGGCTTGTCCTGTTGCAAGATGAGTGAGAGATTTCTTAATATTTTTTCACTTCCTGCTGGAGATCGAAACAGATTTAGAGAGAGATTGTGATTACGCTGTATTCAGAGAGATTGCGCTGCATGCTTGCCGGAAAATGGGTGGTAGAGACAGATCAAAATATTTCTTGCCGGAAAATGAGTGAGAGCAATCGAAACAGTCAGCTGCTGGAGATTGTGATTTAGAAGGAAGATAGAAATAGAGATAGGGTTTCAGAACTAAAAAAGGGTTAAGTCTGTTATACCCTTAAAACTAAAAAATTAATTCATTATACCCTTACAACTAAAGAACTTCCCTTCCTTCTTTGTAGCGCTAAAATTGTGCTGAAATGGTCGTGGACCACTACTTGAGATTACGGCCGTTAACTGTAGCGATCTGCTATGGCGCACAGTAGCATTGCTATTTGCATCTATGACATTGACCCTTTCATTATATGAGGAATTTTGATTTTTGCTTTTCTCCTCTTCCCTCCTTTGGGGAGGTTCTTCCTAGGTGTTGTTTGGTGTTTATATTTGAAGTTTAGCTTTTGTCTTTCTAAATCTCAATTTTAAATCTAATATTATTGTGAATTTTAATTGGGAAATGTTTGTTGAAGACCAACTCCTATGAGCTATCAAGTGTGTGCACCTTTTTTTCCTGGTTGCAGTCAACTTACTGTTAAAGTGTTCCTATGTTATTGGTTCATTTTGCAGATGTGGATATGAATCGCGGTTATGCAAATTTGCCAAGTGGAGGTGCACAAAGGTTAGCTTTGCACTAATTCTTTAATTTAAACCATGAATTAATAAATGTTACCTGCCTCGTATCATCATGTTTTTCTTGTGCATCATAGACAAGAAATTTTATCAATGGGAAGGTAGTTGAGAAAGGAATTATGGCTAGCTTGCAAATATACTTGTAACATTGCAGGATCAGAAACATGAGATTTTGAGGTTTATGCTGTTGAGAAATTTTCAAATAATCTGAAATAGAAATAACTAGTTTACATCATGAGAGGGAAGCTTCAATTCAAGAGACACCGTACTGCAGTGATTGTACAAGGTCAACACAATATCTCTGCTATTATTTGGTGGGCCATTTGGGAGATGAGATTACGGGTTTTCTTATGAGGATTTCGATGTGTGTGTGCATAAAAAGGATTTGGGCTGTCAGAACCTCAGTTTTCCTCTAGCAATAAATGGGTATCTGAAATTTGGATCCAAAGGCACTCTATGAAGACCAAAGTACTGGATTAAAATCACCTGCAAGTACAAATGACATTCAAATTGATGTTACCTTTTGTCAAAGGAAATTTATGAAAGAAGCTATTCTGTCATGGCAATTAAATTTCAGGGAAGTAATAGAGGACACTTGTTGTCTAGGAACACTAAGGGTCTGTTTGGGAGAAGTGGTAAAGAGGGGAAAGCTTACAAAAAATAGTATGCTTTCCATCCCTTCTCTCCCTTTTCCACTTCTTTCAAACGGGCCCTTAGTCTTCTTTCATCGCTGGAGCTTTGTCACATTGGTTTTGGTTGTATACTTCGAGGAAGTTTGATTTTGCAGGACTGCTATTTCAATTTTCAGTATAAACTTATAAACAATACTATATTTGGAGGAGGGATCAGTTTGGACAAGATACTAGTGAAAAGAAAAGCATTGAGTGAAATTGTCAAAGAAAGTAGCCATGAGAGAACAAAATACATTCATGAATGAGTATTTTGTATATGATAAAGTTTGTAAAAATAGTAGACTGCCCTAATTGATTATATTTTGTTGAAACCTTCGTTTTCTTTATATATATATATATATATATATATATATATATATATATATATATATGAAGCTCAATTTATACAATCATGAAAGGTTGTTCTAGTGGGAAAACTCCATGTCAAATCAAAGGTATTTCTTGCATGCTGTCACTTAGCACACATTTTGGAACATGTGGAAGGTATATTTTGTTGCAATCAATAGAATAAATCTCCACATTCCATCTATGCATCGATTCTGTTCTGATTTCTTTTCCTAGATGAAATTTCAGCATTCTACTAGAAGAGCTTTTGGACCACCCAGTTCATTATTCTTTGTCTTGCCTACTAGTCTGCTTTTGATCCCTTTTGGACATTTGCGTTCTGTGCTTGTTGCTGCATGCTTCAACTTTAGTAAAATTTCAACACTAAGTGTGTATTCCACTTCTGAGTTTTATTAGTAAATAGCAAAAGTGACATATTTGATTTATTATTTAAAATACCTCTTTTTAATTCCCTTGAGCGTTAGTTATTGAGGTTTCACTTTAAAATGTTGATTATGCTATTGCTGATTCATGGGGTGTAGGTTGCCTTTATTTTACTCTATTTCACAGTATGATATTTTGGGAAAGTCTGTTAATATGAAGATGGTTGTGAATTATTCCAGAGAGGGGTTGATGTCCTATAAGCAATTCATTCAGGAGCTTGAGGATGATATACTGCCAGCTGAAGCTGAGCGGAGGTAAGTTTTGGAGAATAACATCCTTTGCATTGTGCATAAGCTCTATGGACTGAAGAATTTATGGAATATTCATTGATAAATGATATGTGTAATTTATTTTTCTAGGTATCAGGAGTACAAATCAGAGTATATTTCTACTCAAAAACGAGCTTATTTTAATGCTCATAAGGATGAGGAATGGTATGGGTTTCTCACCGCTGCTAAAATTTCATTTAACTATTTAACTGTTTACTTTGTAAAGTATAAAATTATAAATTACATCTTGTTCCAAGTACAAGCAATCTTGTGTTCATTCCTTAATTTGATGTATTTTTTTTTATGTAGGTTGAAAGATAAATATCATCCAACAAATCTACTTACAGTAATTGAAAGGTGAGTTTATACAGATCTTGCAGTTTAATGAAGAACTGGAGATTTTAACTCTAAATGTTGATCATATTCCAGTATTTTTACTTTGATGGTTCCTAGATAGGAAGGTTGATTAATATATTGATTAAGATATCTAATTGTAATCGATCCTATATGGCGCATCATCTTTTAGGAGGAATGAAAATGCTCGACAGCTAGCAAAGGATTTTTTGCTTGATTTGCAGAGTGGAACATTAAACCTGTATGTTCTTGTCCTCTCTCAGTATCTGTTTGCCTGATCTTCCTCATGCTTTCAATATTCTTGATATAATGAGAATACTTTGAATTACAATTAATGCAGAAATCCTGGTTTAAACTCCTCTTCATCCAGTAAATCAGGGCAAGCCAGCGAGCCAAATTCAGAGGAGGAAACTGATGCTGGTGGAAAACGAAGAAGACATGGTAGGGGATCTAATAAAGATAATGATTTCTCAGCTGCTCCAAAGGCTCACCATATCAGTTCTGAGCCTAGACGGATACAAGCAGATATCCAACAGGCTCAGGCTGTTGTTCGTAAGCTGGACATGGAAAAGGGGATTGAAGATAATATTTTATGCATCAGTGATCATAATAAAAATGATGATAAGGCTCACAGTGGATCTGTGGGCCCCATAATAATTATACGGGGCCTAACATCTGTTAAGGGCTTGGAGGGTGTTGAGCTACTGGACACACTTATTACATATCTTTGGCGGATTCATTGTATAGATTATTATGGCATGATTGAGACTAACGAGGCCAAGGGTTTTAGGCATGTGAGACCAGAAGGAGCAGGGCATGAAGAAACAAGTAAATCAGGGTCTGAATGGGAGAAGAAACTAGATTCATTTTGGCAGGGAAGGTTGAATGGTCAGGATCCCTTGGAATTAATGACTGCCAAGGAGAAGATAGATGCTGCAGCAGTGGATATGTTGGATCCATATGTTAGAAAAATAAGGGATGAAAAGTATGGATGGAAGTATGGTTGCGGAGCTAAGGGCTGCACAAAGCTTTTTCATGCGGCTGAATTTGTGCACAAACATCTGAAGCTAAAACACCCGGAGCTTTTGATGGAACTAACATCAAAATTGCGTGAGGATCTTTACTTTCAAAATTACATGAAGTAAGTTATTAATTGACGCTTCTATTATTTAGTGGCTAGTGTTGCAAGTTTTGGTGGAAATATCACTTATAGTGGCCTTACTATTTTAGTGATCCCGATGCTCCTGGTGGAACGCCTGTCATGCAGCAACCTCAGGTAGACTCGTGATTTTGTTTACCGTACAATTATATATGTTGAAAAAAATCATTACCTAATGATGATTCATGATTTGATAAAACAATCTTAATGGTTATATATTTTGGAAACATTTGGTGTCTAGGTTTTGGTAGTTGTGTATCCCTATTCCCTATGGCATTTATGCAACATTGCAAACGGGGTCTGCACAGCTTGTGAAATTAGCAAATTTTTTTAATTTCCATCTAAATATTTGCTGTTCTGTCTATGGGGCAAGTAGCCCTATATCAACCTTAGGAAGTTATTACTGAGGCATAACAATGTATTTCTACACAACGTCATTATGGTATGCTTTTCAAATGGTCATGATTCATTTTTGTTCTATTTGCAGAAGGACAAGCCTCTAAAGCGAAGATTAGGTCTGGAAGGCCGATTGAAAGATGATCGTGGTAATCGGCGGGACCAGGATAGGAGTGACAGAATAAATGGAGATAGGCTTGACAATTCCCCATCCCGTGAAAGGCACATGGGAAACCATGATGAAGCAATGTATGATGCATATGGAGGGCCTGCTGTTCCTCCATTCACCTCAGATATGCCCCCTCCTCCACCAGTTTTGATGCCTGTACCTGGTGCTGGGTTAGTTGCTCAAACTATTCTTCTGAATTTGATCCACTTTATTGCTTGATTGGGATTTTGTTGGTGCTTATATCATTTGCTACTCTATAGGCCTTTGGGACCCTTTGTTCCTGCTCCACCGGAAGTTGCAATGCAGATGTTAAGGGAGCAAGGAGGGCCATCTTCATACGATGCCTCGGGAAGGAAGATGCGATCTGGTCCTCACATGGGTGGACCAGCACCAATAATTGCTGTTCCTCCAGCTTTTAGACCTGATCCTCGACGGATGCGCAGGTAATTATTTTGCAGGACCCTTGTTCAGATGTTCACTTATGGTATCTCCAAATCATACTATCTCCTTTTTACAACTGATGAATGGCCTTGCAATTGACAACTTTTCTGCCTTGCAACTTTTATCTGATCTTGAGATTTTAATCTGCCTTGCAACTTTTATCTCCTTTTTACATGGCCTAAGAATGCTTAGGGTATCTTCTTCAGTACTAAAATTATTATTTATCCATTATCTTATGATATTTTTTTATTTTTTTATTTTTTACTTTTGAAAGGCAAGCTCATTTTGTAAAAAACTTCCTTTATCTTAGCATTATGACCTGAAGAATAGAAGTTCTTCGAGACTAGCAATAATGTTTTGAAGGATATCCATGTAAAAGATTGTGACTCCCAACTGATGAATGAAAATATTCAAATTTCTATTTGCAATTGACAGATATGGTCATCTACTTGTTTATTGTCTGTGATTGACTTGTATGAAATATTTACTCATTTCCCCAATGGAGGTGCAGTTATCAAGATCTGGATGCCCCGGAAGACGAAGTCACCGTGATAGACTATCGGAGCTTGTAGGTGTCACTGGCTTTCTCTAATTTAAATGAGATTGGCTGGGCAGCATGCCTGTTCTTGTCAAATGATATCTTGCTCTTTCAATGAGAGCAGCAGTATGCCAGTAATAATGGGGTCAGGCTTCATTTCTTTCTTAAATTTGCTTGAGAATCTTGTTAACTTGTGTGGTGAAATTTGAGCTGAGGGAAGTGACTTCGATATTGTACTAGAGTTGACATATGTAGATTTTTCAACAAACTGCCATCTGACTCTGCATAGAAGGATAATTTAACATAATGAGCTGATTTGTTATTTAGTGGATAATCTTCTGGGTTGATTTGACTTACTTTGATTTTGCATTAAACTAAGTATTTGTAGAGACAAAAACAGATGTAAGACCTGTTTGTTCTAGACCCTTGTCCGAGCATAGAGCCAAGAAGAAAAAAAGGAAACAAATTATGTGACTATTAGCGTGTTGAACGGAAAAAGTCCATTCGCCCTAGATTAACATTAAAAAAAATAAAATTCTATTACTGTATTACAGGACAACCACCTTCCTGAATATGCACCCACATGGCCTCCACAATATTTCCACTTGCTAATACTGATTTAAATGTGGGAGTCAGCGTAGGTGAACCACCGCCACCCTTTGTTTCACCACATTGGTTCCCTCATCTCGTAAAAGTCCATAATCTCCGGTTGAATAAGAAAAAAAAATAGTTTGTGGATAGTAAAACTTAGTGCAAGAAAATTATGTTTAGTTGCCTGTATTAGGACCGGTCCAATTGATTCTGGGGTGGCCCATAAAATTACCCAATTACCTTTATCCTAACAATATCAATAATTCTTAACACCCAATTTTGTTCTCAGTTAGGAATGGACTTGTTGATGCGCAGACGATTAACTTTTCACTTTAACAAAATTGCAGTAGAAATAATAACCAAATTCAGCTATTTTTATAGGGTTCATTTTTTCTACAGTCAATGTAGATAAGTTATTTATGTTGAGTCCAAAACGACGTCGTTTTGAAGCAGAAATCAAGGTATTTTTGTAATTATAATTTATTTCAGGGTTACAATAGTAATTTTTATTATAATTTTTTTAATTTTTTAATCTAAAATGACGTCGTTTTGGAAGCGAATGTAGATAATTTGTCTATATTAAACATTAAAGCCATTGTTATATATTTTCACTAGTAAATAATGTCTATTTGAGAACCTATCAAAATGAACAGGTAAATTACTTACTCACAAATATATATTATCCTGCGTAATTGATTGAAATCAAAGTAAACATGAACTTTCACCAGCTGTACTGAACCTCTATGCAGATGATTCAATTGCGAAGTAACGTTAGCTCGAAGAAATATGCATATCACTCGTCCGGTTTGGAAGATAAATTATAACTACATTTTAAAATTTTAATTTCAAAAGGGCCGGCTTGGCTCAGCGGTAAGCTTGCTTGCCGTGGTGTGTCAGGTCGCGGGTTCGAATCAGCCTCTCTGCAAAAGGCAGGGGAAAGACTGCCTAGAGTATTCCCTTCCCCAGACACTCACGAAGTGGGTATTTGAACTGGGTCGGCCCTTTTTTAAAAATTTTTATTTTAATTTCAATTTTGTCAAAATTGAAATTGATTAATGGGAAAAGTGTGTCATTTTAAATGATGTAAAATTGTGTCATTTTAAGAGAGAGAAAGAGATAGATAAAGGAGGAGAGAGAGTTGACAAAAAAAAAGGTGTGAGTCCCACATCTTTATAAGAGTGAAAGAATATAAGTTGTGTCATTTAAAAGGATAAACACTTTTCTCTTGATTAATGTTGCATTCTATGTTGGATAATTAAACTAATAACGAATTAAAATATAAAAGTATAATTTTGAATTGATTAGAATTTTATTGGAAGATATCAACCGCGACGGTGATTGGAGTTAAGGATGTGCATGAATTGGTTTAGTTTGATTTTTATGCCGAATCGAACCAATTTTAATGGTTTGGTTTTTCAAACTAAACCATTTTTAGTTTTCCAAACCAATTTTTTTTTTCTTGAATCGGTTTTGATTTAAAATCGATTTTAAAATTGGTTTAGAACCGGTTTGTCTGTTAATTAATTATAAACTGTATCTGAATCGGTTCTTGATTTGGATAAAATACAATAGACTCACAAGGGCTAAAATCCAATGATTAAGGCCCAAACAAACAGGGCCCAGACAATGCACGATATCTCCATCGCACATAAAGAATCAGGGGGCGCGATGGCTTCATCGCGCCTAAACCGCCCAAAACAAGACTTCAGAACTAAGGAAGGAATCCATAATATAAACAAGGAACCACCGCGCCATAAGTCAATACTCTAAGGACAGGACCAACTTGCCTCAACTCTACAAAGGTAGCTTGACATATAGAGGTATAGCCTGAAAGGCACCAGCTGAGAAGAGATAAACTTGTAGCCCATAAACGGCCAATAAGAATACATACTGCCTACCAAAGGTGGTATCAGACTCACTATATAAACAAGGGGTACACACCCAAATAAATCAATCTATTTCCAGTAAGAATACATCACAAGTCTAACTTTGATACTGATTTGAGCGCCGGAATGTCATTGTAGGTACTCCCAGCCAGAGTCATCGCGCCAAAGAAGAACCACATCAACCTTCCATCTAACAGTCATCATCAACCCAAGAAGTAGATAACCCAACTGAAAATCTTCTCTCTTCAATCGTGTGTGATTAGGCTTGATACACATTGGCCAACCCATATTGTATTGGACTGATCAATTCTAAAATAATTTCTAATTGGTTTTGAACTCGTTCAAGATCGATTTTCAAAATTTTGAGCCTTTTTATATTTTTGCATTTGAATATATTACTTTTTCCGTAATAGTGAGTTGTTACAATGATGTTTATTTATCTTTTAAATGATGATGCAATCCAAATTATTTATATTTCTTATGAAATAATTTTTCTTTTAGATTTCAAATTTTTAATTTTCAAGTATTGAAAGACATTTTTTCAAAATAATTTTATTTATTTATACATAATGATATATACACATATTTGTATATACATTATTCTATATTAATATAATTTTTATTAAATAATTGAAGCTAATTTTACTTTATTTTACATAACCTTATTAAATTTTAATTTTAACATGTACTTTTAACCTGATATGTAATAAATATTTTATATTTGAATATTACTCAAAGATGACGAGCTTATTTTTTACATTGGTAAAGTTTATTTTCTTTAACGACAAAATGCAATCAAAATCATTGTATTATCATAATTGGTTTGAAAATATTTTATTTTAAAAAAATACCTATTCACACCTCATTATAAAATAAAAATATGAGAATAATAGTTTTTGTAAATTAATAATATTTACCATTTATATTAAAAATAAGGGAAAAATTATCTAATGTTACTTTAGACAATTTTGTCTAATGTTCATTGAAACGACGTCGTTTTATGGTTGAAAAATTAAAAAATTAGAATGATAAAGACTATTATAACCCTGAAATAAATTAAAATTATAGAAACACCATGATTTCCGCTCCAAAACGACGTCGTTTAGGTGAACATTATATAAAGTTATCTAAAGTAACTTTAGAAAAAATAAACCCTTATAATAATTATAAGAATAATATTTTTCGAAATTTTGAAAAGGAATAGGGATTTTCTTTAAAAACCGGTTTGGATCAGTTCTTTTGGTTCTCAAACCGGTTCAAGTAAAGGGGTTTGGTTTATAAACCAATTTAGATAAACTTGTTTGGTTGATAAACCGGTTTAGAAAAATAAGGATCTTTTAGATTTTCTGCACACCTCTTATCTTGCTATAAGCATTAGGGTTGGGAAAAACGAGCCAACCCGTCGTAACCCGTCAAAAATGAGCCGGGTTGGGTTGGCAAAAATGAGCTGCCAACCCGAGCCAACCCGGCTCGTTTCAACCCGTGAAAAAATGAGCCAACCCGCGGGTCAAATGAGCCAGCTCGCGGGTTGAGTTTTTTTTTTAATAAAAAAATACAAAATATAATATAGAAAAATGGACAAAATCCACACATGTTGTCATCATTTTTCTTCCTTATCTAAACTTAAGTCCCTAATCTTCTCACATCCCTGCCATTTTTATGTTGTTAGGTTGTGTTGGCTTTGTTTGGTTCAAATATCTTACCCACTTGGTAGCAAGTGGTTCTGATTGTTTCTGGATGTTGATGCAAATTTGTTGTGAAGAAAATTCGAAACTAAATATTTTGCTTTTATTTCTCTTTATGTAACCCTTTTTTAAGCTAATGGAAGCCACATAGCTGGTGCATTAATACTACAGAGTCATTTAAATAGGTTGAAAACGAGCCAACCCGCGAGGCAATTTTCGAGCCAACCCGCAAGCCTATTTTCGAGCCAACTCGCGAGCTATTTTTTCAAGTCAACCCACGAGCCATATTTTTAAGCCAACCCGCGAGCCAACCCTAACCCGACTCGGGTCAGGTTGGGTTGGGTTTTCTGGCTCGTTTTTTTTTTCGAGCCAACCCTAACCCGGCTCGTTTTTTCCGGGTTAAATGCGGGTTGGGTCGGGTCGGGCCAGGTTGGCTCGTTTTGCCAACCCTAATAAGCATAGTGATAGTGAAGATAAACTTGAGGGAGTTGCTTGATGGTACATGTTATACGTTGAAATAGGATAGTCAAAATGTACAATTAACAAGGATCCTGTTATGGAGAACTTGTGCCTACCAAATAAACGTTAAATGTCAATTTAATTTTTAGTGGGTTTAATTGAGCAATTTTTAAGAGAATGAAAGGTCAAGAGTCAGCAGTTTTCTTTTTGATTTAAATGTTCAGTTTTGTGTTTTTTAAGTTTCTGAAGTTATGTGAGTTTATTGTGGGGTTAAGTGTCTTTATGTATTTCTTGTGGAGTTACAAGTTTTGTATTTTAAAACTATTATTTGAATGTGAAAGTAAATACTTCTTCTGCCTTAGTGAAAAATATCTCCTTTCTTTCTTATTGTTCTCCCAACAAATTGGTATCAGAGCCAATGGAGAGTGTGACCGGTAATTGTCCGCTACCCCAACTAATGAAGGCGAACTACGAGAATTGGAGCATCCAAAAGAAAGCTCTTCTCTAGTCTCAAGACGGTTAGGAGGTGGTCCAAGAAGGTTTTGAAGAACTGGCAACTACCGCGGGATATACGGCGGCTCAAAACAAGGCGTTGAAAGAGACACGATCGAAAGATAAGGCGGCATTGTACATGTTGTTCTGAGAAGTTGACGAGTCAGGCTTTGAGAAGATTGCGAGTGCGACAACTTCAAAAGAAGCATGGGACATTTTGGAAAAGGTGTACAAAGGAGTCAATCGAGTTAAACAAGTTCGCCTTCAAACTCTTCGCGGCGAGTTGGAAGGCATAAAGATGAAGGAGTCAGAAGGTTTCTCTGACTACATCACGCGTGTTCAAACCGTGGTGAACCAACACAACCGAAACGAAGAAGCATTAACTGATGCACGAGTTGTGGAGAAGATTTTGAGGTCATTAACCGACAGTTTCGAGAATGTCGTATGTGCCACAGTAGAGTCAAAGGACCTAGCAATGCTCACTGTCGACGAGCTCGTTGGTTCTCTCGGGGTACACGAACAACGTAAGAAGAAGAAGAAAGAGGAGACACTCGAGCAAGCACTTCAAACCAAGGCATCAATCAAAGACAAAAAGGCACTCTATTCTCACAACTTTCGAGGTAGAGGGCGTGGCCATGGAGGTCGAGGAAATGGTCGCGGTGGTAGAGGTCGCAGTCAAGAAGGGTATTATTAGAAGAAGGGGCAATCAAACCAATAAAATTGGTGTGGAAGAGGATGCGGTCGTGGGAGAGGCGGTCGGTCAAATTATTCCAACATCGAGTGCTACAAGTGTGGCAAATATGGTCACTATGCGAAGGATTACAACTCTGATAAGTGTTACAATTGTGGCCAGGTGGGGCATTTCGCAAAAGAATGTCGAGTTGAGAAAAAGGTGGAAGAGATGACCAACCTAGCCACAGAAGATGAGGCGAAAGAAGGTCTTCTCATGATGACACACAACAAAGGAAACTTCAACAATGACACAGTGTGGTACCTTGACACGAGTGCAAGCAACCATATGTGCAGGCACGAGCACCTATTCAAAGAGATGCGTAAGGTGAAAACTAGACATGTGTCATTTGGAGATGCGTCGAAGGTTGAAGTCAAAGGCCAAGGTACAATTTTTTTCTTACAAAATGTGTATTACGTACCAAACCTCAAGAGCAACATTTTAAGTATAGGGCAACTCATGGAGAAAGATTATTCGGTACTTATGAAAGACCGGGTTTTACACTTGAAAGATAAGCAAGGGCGTTCGATCGCTCGAGTTAAAATGGGGAGAAATCGCATGTACAAGCTGAATTTGAGAAGTGTGTGAGAAAAATGTTTGCAGGTCGACGTAGAAGACAAGGCGTCACTGTGGCATCTCCATTTTAATCACCTACATCATGATGATCTAAACGAGTTGGCGAAGAAGAACATGGTGCACAGGCTACCAGACATGGACTACGAGGGAAAATTTTGTGAAGAATGTGTGCTCGACAAGCATGCGAGAACTTCGCTTCAAAAGAAGGCAGAATATCGGGCTAAACAACCTCTTGAGTTGATTCATACCGACATATGTGGACCAATCACCCTGAATCTTTTAGCGGTAAGAGGTATTTCATTTCCTTTATTGATGATTTCTCACAAAAAACTTGGGTTTATTTTTTGAAAAAAAAATCTGAGGCGTTCGAGGTGTTCAAAAAGTTCAAAGTTATGGTGGAAAAGGCAACCGGTAGACACATCAAATTCGTACGCTTTGATAGAGGTGGCAAGTATACTTCGACAATTTTCATGGAGTATTGTGAAGAGCAAGGCATAAGGCGATTTCTAACTGCACCGTACTCTCCACAACAAAACGGTGTAGCCAAGAGGAAGAACATGACCATTCTCGACATGGTCCAGTCAATACTCAAGAGCAAGAAGATACCGAAGGAATTTTGGGCGAAATCCGTTCAATGCGTCATCTACGTGCAAAATCGATGTCCACATGCAAAGTTGGATGATCAAACACCGCAAGAGGCGTGGAGCTGACAAAAACTGACAGTTTCTCATCTCAAAGTATTCGGTAGTGTGGCCTATGCACACGTGCCGGATCAGCGAAGAACAAAGCTTGAAGACAAAAGCAAAAGGTATAATTTTATTGGGTATGATGAGAAAATAAAAGGATACAAGCTACTCGACCCAATAAGCAAGAAGGTTGTGGTGAGTCGTGATGTACGAGTTAATGAAGGAAGCAAGTGGGATTTGAATAACTCAACAGAGGTTATCATCGAAGTTGGAGAATCATCAACTGCTACACCAACAACCATACCGACAAATCCTGAAACTACTGATGAGGAAGATGAACCGCGGCAACCCAAAATGAGAAGTTTGCAAGATTTGTATGATTTGACAAATGAGGTACACCTTGTATGTCTTTTGTCGGATTATGAGAATATAAGTTTTGAAGAGGCGATGCGAGACAAGAAGTGGCAAACTGCCATGGACGAGAAGATTAAAGCAATTGACCGCAACAACACATGGGAGTTAGCGAAATTGCCGAAAGGAAGTCAGCCCATTGGTGTGAAGTGGGTGTTCAAGAGAAAGATGAATGCTCAAGACGAGATAGAACGGTACAAGGCGCGACTTGTTGTAAAAGGATATAAGCAAAAAGCGGGAATCAACTATGACGAGGTGTTTGCTCCCGTTGCTAGAATGGAGACAATCTGATTGCTCATTTCACAAGCGGCTCAATTCAAATGGCCGATATTTCAAATGGATGTCAAGTCGACATTCTTGAATGGTGTTCTCGAAGAAGAAGTCTACATCGAACAACCACCTGGGTACATGAAAATCAGAGAAGAAAAGAAGGTGTTGAGATTGAAGAAGGCGCTTTACGGGTCGAAGCAAGCACCGCGGGCATGGAATACTCGTATCGATGCATACTTCAAGGAGAACGGGTTCGAGCAATGTCCCTAAGAACATGCCCTTTATGTGAAGAAGAGTGGAGGTAATTTGTTATTTGTTGCTCTTTCTGTTGATGACCTTATTTTTATGGGGAACAATGATGAGATGATACAAGAGTTTAAGAGCACAATGGAACGAGAATTCGAAATGACAGATCTTGGTTTGATGAAGTTTTTCCTTACAAGGAGAGACGTGTATTTGTGTGTCACAAGAGGTATATGCAAAAGAGATTCTGAAGAAGTACAAGATGGAAGATTGCAACCCAGTATCAACACCAATGGAACCGGGTGCAAAACTCTCGAAGTTCGATGGAAGAGAAAGAGTCGGCGCAAGCAAATACTAGAGTTTGGTGGGAAGCCTTCACTATCTCAAATGCACAAGGCCAGACCTTTCGTTAAGTGTTAGCATTGTAAGTCAGTTCATGGAGGAGCCGGTTTATTCACATTGGAAGGCGTTGAAGTGAATCCTACGGTATATCCAAGGAACAATGTCACTTGGGTTATTCTATTCGAATTCGGAAGATTACAAGTTAATTGGGTACTCCGATAGCGATTGGTGCGGAGACTTAGACGATCGAAAAAGCACATCGGGATATGTGTTTTTTTTTATGGGTGACACGGTATTTACTTGGCTTTCAAAGAAGCAATCGATCGTGACGCTCTCGACATGTGAAGCTGAATATGTGGCAGCATCTTGGTGTGTATGTCATGCGATCTAGCTCAGAAATTTGTTGGGCAAATTGGAGTAACAACAACTCAGTGCGACACTAAAAAGCGAGGAGTATGGCAATAGTATCAAATAGTTTATGTATCAACGAATCGCACGTAGAGATATTGATAACACACATAGAGTTAATGGTATTTCATAACTAATTGATTGAGCAGCAGCTCGCAGACCCCCCAAAAAGGAATATTTATTATTTGACCCATATCCTGACATAAGAAGTCCAATGGGAGCAATACTCGAAATAGCAATCCATAAAAAAACACCTATATTGAGATCAGATACAATAAAATTATACCCCCAAGGAATTACTGAATAACTTATTAGAATTGATATGACTGATATGGACGGTCCAATACTAAATAAACGAATATCCCCTCTTGATGGAATGATATTCTCTTTGAAAAGCAGTTTTGTTCCGTCTGCTAGAGCTTGAAGAACTCCAAAAGGGCCGGCGTATTCAGGTCCAATACGCTGTTGTATACCTGCAGATATTTCTCTTTCTAACCATACAATTGCTAGTACACTTATTGTGATTCCCAATACAAGAAGAAAAATGGGGGCAAATACCCACAGAATTCCACAGACCTCCTTTAAATACGCCACTCTGGAAAAAGAATCGATATCTTGTATTTCTGATGTATCAATTATCATTTCAACGATCAACTTCTCCCATAATGATATCTATGCTACCTAGTATTGTCATAATATCAGCCAATTTCATTCTTTTAACTAATTGCGGAAGAATTTGCAAATTGATAAAACCTGGTGGGCGAATTTTCCATCTCCAAGGAAAACCATTCTGATCCCCTATTAGAAAAATTCCCAATTCCCCCTTCGGGGACTCAACTCTTACATAAAGTTCTTGTTTTGACAATTCAAAAGTAGGAGACGGTTTTTTACTAATGAATCGATATTCAAAATCATTCCATTCTGATTTCCTTTCTCTATCAAAGCATCGGATTTCTAAATTTTCATATGGCCCGCCAGGAATTCCTTCCAAAGCCTGTTGAATCATTTTTATGGATTCCATCATTTCACCAATTCGAACTAAATAACGAGCTAATGAATCTCCTTCTTTTGCCATTGAACTTCCCAATCAAATTCCTCGTAACACTCATAATTATCAACTTTACGAAGATCCCAGTGTATTCCGGAAGACCGAAGCATCGGTCCTGATAAACCCCAATTTATTACCTCATCTCCGGTAATAATGCCTACCCCTTCAACCCGTTCTAGAAAGATAGGATTTCGTGAAATAAGTTTTTGATATTCAACAATACCTGTTAAAAAATAATCACAGAAATCAAAACATTTATCTATCCAACCATGAGGTAGATCCGCTGCCACCCCTCCGATACGAAAAAAATTATGCATCATTCTCATACCTGTGGCAGCTTCGAATAGATCATATATTAACTCCCTTTCTCTGAAAATATAGAAGAAAGGGGTTTGTGCACCAATATCCGCCATAAAGGGTCCCAACCATAGTAGATGAGAAGCTATACGACTCAACTCCAACAGAATTACTCGGATATAGCTGGCTCTTTTAGGTACTTGAATATTTCCCAACTGTTCCGGTCCGTTTACAGTTATTGCTTCTGTGAACATAGTTGCTAAATAATCCCAACGTGTTACATAAGGCAGATATTGTATAATTGTTCGGTTTTCCGCAATTTTTTCCATCCCTCTGTGTAAATAACCCAATATTGGTTCACAATCAATAACATCCTCACCATCCAGAGTAACAATAAGTCTAAGAACACCATGCATTGATGGGTGATGAGGTCCCATATTGACTATCATGAGGTCTTTTCTTGTAGTTGGGACATTCATAGGTTTTTCCTCGATTCATTCTTACAGGAATCGCTAAAAATAAAAATTCATCAAAATTCAAGATCTACAAGATCTAATAAATCGAATAATTCAAAATGATTTTTCAAATTCAAATTAATTAATTTTGGATTCCCGAATATTTAACTGAGTTATTAATTTTTTATAACGTATTCCATTTTTCTTTGACAAATAAGACAGTAATCGTTGTCGTTTTCCCAGAATTTGACGTAAACCTCTTTGAGATAAATAGTCTTTTTTGTGCAATTCAAAATGTGAAGTAAGTTTCCGTATCCTATTTGTGAAATGAAATACTTGAAATTCAACCGATCCCGGGTCTTCTTCTCTTTTTTTTTTTGAAGTTAGCGGTATAAACGAGTTTTGTATCATATAAGGCCCGTCTTTTTTATAGATATTTTTATTGATCAGTAAGGGTAATGACACTAATTTTGAATTTTGTATCAAAAAGAATATTCATTTAATAATCCATTTTTTCAAAAAAAAATGGATTATTAAATTTGATTATGAATCAATTTAAATAGATATAAAAATTATCAAATAGATATAAAAATTATATTTATATAGATTCATAAAATCAAAAATTAGATGCTAAAAAAAAAGACGATTTTGTTAATTCATTTTTGATCGAATGGATCTAGTATTGAATTAGGATCAATGCTTGAGAATAGAAATAATGCGCGCGCATTTATGTAGGTATCCATTTTTGTTCATATATCATAATCATATATGTTATATATGTTACGGTAAATAACAGAAAATGTAATAGATTTCCGAATTTTAAATCGCGGATACATACATATCTTTACTATACTGAAACGACTTCCATTATGCGTATCAAACCAATAGCGATTTATACAAGCTAAATCTTCTAATCGAGAATTTGGCCAAAGAAACAATTTTAAATTCATTAGTTTTTTTTTATATCTATCAAGATCTTTATTTTTAATCAAAACTTGACAGAAATTGTTGACTTTATTCTCGTTGTAAAATATTATGTTTCTATGTGTATTATTTAGATTCCTAGTATTGAAACAAATTAGAATTCTAAATTCTCTACGACGCCTGGTGGATAAAATATTTTCAGGAACAAACAAATCATACGTATTTTTTTCTTTATTTTCCGTTATCTTTTGATCTCTTGTTCTTCGAATGTATTTCTCACAATTCTTCTTATCAACACGACCTTTTTCTGAATATCTTTCATGAATTTGGTCCTTACTCTTATTAATTAAGGAAAAGCCTGTGGTTTGATACATAAAAAATTGTTCGTTGTTTTTTCTAGACAGACGCACTGGTTCGATAATCAATATTCTCTTTTTCATCAAGTCTTTAGTTTTCTTTAACCCTTTCAGAGTCAAATCTTTATGACTCTGAATCACCATAATATCTAGGCTTAAATCTCCCCTTTGAATAGAGGCTATAGCAATTTCTTTTAAACTTATCAATCTAATTATGAGACAATATATTTTGACATTATTCAATATTCTTTGAGTTAACGAACCCCCCCACTTTAAATGAAAACCCAAATACTTTCTTAGTAAGAAATTAAGTTCTGCCTCCTTCTTATTCTTGTATCTCTTTTTCTTTGTACCCTTCTCCCCTTTCCCGTTCGACGTCACATAATATTCTTCAATATCTGTTTCTTGGTTTGAGAGGGGTGATTCAATATCTATCCTACCCTCGTCTTCCGCTTTTGATCGGTTTCGAGTTACAGACTCAAAAGAAAGAGATTTTTTTTTTTTCGAAGGTCTAAAAATGTCTATTTTATTTTTCTTTCCATTCATTTTTTTTTTTTCAATTACATTCGTATTTTCATTACAATGGAAAAAAAGTATTTTAATTGGTATGATCCACGGGTTTCTCAAATATGCATTCAAAAATATAAAAAATTTTGAAAAGAAACAAAATTCCATATTCGATCTAGAACGATTTAGTATTTCTACATTCATTTCCATCCAATCAAAAGACTTTCTAGTCATATTTTTTTCCATCTCTATAATAGCATATTCCTCTATATAATTCTTGATAGAGATATTACCCATTGTATCAAATAACTTTTGTTTATGTGTATTGTAATTATAAGAAAATGCTTGCTTTTTATTTGTTTGGAATGTTGATCTGTATCCAGAAATATATGAGTCTTTCTTATCTGCATAATTAATAGATTTATAGGATAAAAAATCATATCCATTTTTTTTGTTTAATGGTAATGAGTCTACTTGTTGTTTTTTGTAAAGAATTGGTCGAGTTTTTTCATATGAATCAAATTTAGCGAAATATTTCTTTTGAGCCATATTATTTTCATTGATTTTACCTCTCCATTTTTGTGTTACTAATCTGGACCACCTGATATGAGATAAATCATATTGATAATTACCTATTAACCAATTTACCCATTGATTGATTACAGAATCGGGAGGGTTTTTATGTCTTAATTTGGAATGAAATATTCCCCGTGCTCCAAAAAAAGAATCCCTTATTTCATTCTTAAGAAAAAAAGATTTTCCATGATATTCAAAAACAGATCTTAACTTACACTTATATACATTAAGAATTTTGGTTTGTGATAATTTATAAAATACATAGGCCTGGGACAAAGAGGATACGTCACAAGAATTCTGTGAATTCGTACTCCTAGTATTATAAGATTTGTGTATAATCGAAAGAAAGTCAATTATATTTTGATTTGTTTTATCAGTTCTTTCTGTATTTGATTCATTATTGTAAATGGATTTATTTAGAATTTCTTTTGTTGATTTAGAAAAAAGTTGTACATTGATCCTAGGAATACTAATTATACATACAAAGATATCTATGTATACCCTTTCTACAAAAAATTTGAAAAATGAGTATGATTTTCGGGTTAACCGATGATTTATTCTTTGTAATATATGCAAAAGATTTTTTTCCAATTCTAATCTTTTGATACCAAAAGTTGTTTTCTTCGAATTTATATTGATCTCTGAAATTTTTAATTCCCCTTTCTTTTCTTTTGTTATTTTTCCTATTTGCTTTATGATTGTCTTTGTTTTAACATTCAGATCTTTTATTTTTTTTTCTGTCAATGAACAATTTGTCCAATGAATGGATTGAATTGGCATGGGTGATTCGTAAATAAGTGGATTATTCTTAGTGATTGTAGAATCTTTTTTGCTTTCAATCGATTCCTTTTTTTTTTTGAATTTAAGTATAAATAAGTAATTCAGGAGTTGTTTTCTTTTTTCATTTATAACTAGAATACTTTTGCAAATATTTTTTATCATCCATTTTGTTATTGCTTTTGAGACATTTAAAAATAATTTAGTTCTTTCATTTAAAACTAGAAAAAAATCATTTTTCAAATTTTTCGTCTTTCTTTTGAGTTCTTTTAAAATAGGATAAAAAAATGAAAGCCGATCTCGGGGATAACCAGAAAAAGGCAATTCTACTTCCCCCCCCCAAATTGTTAAAAAACAAAAGTTTTTTTTTTTCATTGGATTTTTTTTTTCCTTTTCCGAGGATTCTAGATTGGATCGATGCCAAGGTTTAAGACGAAAAGGGAATAAGATCTTTATCTGAATACCATCTGTTAGCCATTTTTTTGGAAATTCTGTTTCGGATAATTGAACGCCATTATAGGTGCATTTAACATACATTTCTCTATTCCAATCCCGAAAATCTTCTGACCATTCGGGAAATTGGCTCGAGCTTGGAGGAAAACAAGTGTTATGTTGAATTCCCGACTTGAACATGAAATAAACAAGTGCGAGACTGAATTCTCGGCTTACAATGAAATATTAACAAGTGCAAGATTGTTATCCCAGGTTGAAAATGAAAAGAAAAAAGAAAAAAGAAAAAAAAGCGGGTGCTTCCTAACTTGAAAATACAAGAAAAATGGGTACCACGTTATAATCCCAGATATAATAAGTGTGCGCATGAACGCTCGAAAGGAGAATGTAAGATAAATAGGAGTGAGGCTGAATTCCTAACACGAGCATCTATGGGTATAAGGGCTCTAAAAATAATGAACTACAATGTTTATCACTTATTTGTCTTTCTCTTCTCTTTTTTTTTCTCAATCTTTTTTATTGTACATTTTCTTGACAAGGTAGATTTGTCCTTTTGAAGTAGATCATTTACATGGCAACACACTATCTCCAACAAAAAGGAGCAAACCAAAAAAAAAAATCACTCCTCAATTAAATTCAATTAACGAGTGTGCGGTGAAGATATTAATCCATGTACGCATATCTTTGCAAATAATTGCAAAAAGAAGCAAATCAAAATGGAGAAAAATATATTTTAATTAATCACACCATGCATATGGTGTATAGCTCTTTCAAGTCCTAAATTGAACATTGTTCCCACAACAGTTTCCCATGACACCACCTTGATATTCATAGCAGCTCCCCATGGCATCACATTGATATCCATAGTAGCACCCATCATCTCTACGATAACAACCCCTCATTTTGTAGACCGAATTCTTTGTCCATCATGTGCAAGAAAGGAAGTGACTTCATCTACAAAGTCAACGACAAAGGTGATATATCATGTGCCACCGCTTTCATGCAAGTAACGCGGTCATGACCCACTCTGCGTCACCCTCACTGTTGTAGGAGCAATTGGATATGTGGAATGCAACAAATCATCATTGTTCTTTGTAATATAAAACTATACTTCTTGTAGCGTAGAGCTGGAGTTATCCATCGGTGTGGTGACTTCTTTTGTTTGGTGGTATAATATATATATATTTTTTGGATATATGAAAAAGGACTAGAACATACACCATCTAACACACCTATATCCTATCCCTCACCATTAGCCTAACCTAGTGGCTTCGGTGGTATAATTTCTAGCACATGCTATTATGGAGTCTTACTACTGCACGATCAATTGTTATATTTAATTAATTGACAAGAGATTATTATTATATTTGATAAAATATTTTAACAGAAAAGATTGAATTTTTGTTTAATTATTTATTCATCTATTGAATTAAATATAATTGTAATTATTATTAAATTAATTCAAGTTAGAAATTAGTTTTAATTAATCCATTTAATTGATTGGTTTATTGATTTTTTATTTATTTGTTGAATTAAAAACAATGAAAATTATTATTCAATTCATTAACTCAACTGAATTTATTTTTGAAGATAAAATGTTAAAATAAAAATTTAAAAAGTAGCTTATTATATAAAATTGTTTATACAAAAATGACTAAAATAGTCACACATAGCATAAGATATTGTTCTTGTAAAAACCTTGTTTTAGTTTACCAAAAAAAAAACCCTTGTTTTATATAATTAAAAATAGATATAATATGTTAGCTATAATCTCCTTCTTTATTTATAAGGCTTTGAGTTTAGAATTTAAATAAGTATTTAGTATCTCTAAAAGTGTAAGAAATTTGTATATACATTTTGGTTTCTTATGTCGAGAAAAGGGTTTTTTTTTTTTTTTGTCAATGTTATCAAATGTGATGACTAGCCAATGCATTAATGCAATTATGAAGGAGAAGAGATTAAGGCAGACACTCCCCACAGGACGTTTCATGTATAGGACTATATGGTGGAAAAAATAAAAAAATAATTTTTGTTATCTTATGCTATCCCCGTGTTAACCCAAGCCGAGCTTAATATTTGAATAGGATAAGAGATCCTAATAAGATAAGTTTATCTTATGATATTGGCTCACCAAATAATAGATAAAGACATGATATGATAATCTATCTGTGGAACCAATGCAGAATATAGAGATTCAAGGATTTTGATTATAACAAACAAAGCATCAAAAGAAGACTTCAAGTTGCAACAATCAAAAAGAAATAATCAACTAATATTCATGAAGTCCATCAAAATTCAAGCTACAAAAGAAGAATCTAAATCCAAGAATTCTCAAGTAATATACTTTAGGACTTAGAATTAATTGTGAAGGTAATTGACTTCTTGCATGAGTAAGCTCAAAATATTTCTGTTAAAGTACATGCATTAAATCATCATTTGATAACAAAAAGGATTTATAGCATCACGTTAAAAACATGTTTTCAAGATTCAATCAAGTAATTAAACATGTTTGAAAGGGATTTAAAATATAGAAGAATGCTTATGAACGTATTTCCAACATTTCCAATAGGTTGGCAATCGATTCCCACTCTTTGGAAAAGTTGGGAATCGATTCCCACAGCAAGGGAATTGATTCCCTCATGCATCAGAGGACCAAAATAACGCTTATAAACGGCTAGTTTTGCAAAAATGGTTGTACAAAGGCTCATGGGGCCCTCTATAAATAAAGATTACTGTTTCATTGATTGGTCAACTCTTCTTGATCATAATTCTTGATTTAATTCATATCATTTGCTTATTTTCATTCATCTTGATCATAAATACTCTTTGAGCTTTATTCTTGTGAGAGTGTCAACACCCGTAGTTCTTCAACTTGTATAATCTGTACTTTGATAGTACTTAGCTATTCTTAAACACCTCCATTTGATTTCTTGAATAGTTAGGGGAGTGAATCCTTTACACTTGAAAGGTGATCACCAAATTCTTAAGAAAATTTGGAGTGTAAAATTGTGAGGCATCAAGAGCCTGAAATCTTGAAAGGTGTAATGGTTTTTCAAACACCCTCAAGCTTGATAGCTAGTGAAAAAGTTTGATCGAGTGACTTCAGTCTGGACGTAGGTCACGGTGGTGGTGACCGAACCAGGATACATCTAGTTTGTAATTTCTCTAACCTTAAACTCTTTACTTTAATATTGAAATTGCATTTTTAGATTGTGTATACCTATTTACTTGCTTATTTTATTGATCACACACTTGCTCTCATACTTAGATTTTTTCTTGTTAAATCATTTTATTGAAAAAATACTCTTTAAAATATCAAAGGAGACACTTTATGAAAAGATTTTATAAAACTCAATTCACCCCTCCTCCTCTTGAGTATTAAAGCCACTTGTCCAACATATCCTATCATATTCATCTTATCAGGTGAATCAAATAATGGATAAGGACATTATAGGATAGTCTATCCTATCTTAGAACTCATTTGATATGGACCGGGACTTCAAAGTCCCTATCATAAAATGAAAAACAAAATGGACGGAGGGGGAATTTGTGAGGAAGAGAGGGATTTAAGTGGAAGAAATTTTTTCCGTTTTGAAAAAAGATGCACCTAAAAAGTTGTGGGCCGGGTCTATAATAAAAAAATCCCCTATCTTATCTATCTTAGGGTTAATAATTCAAATATGTTTTATGTATATTCTTGTTTCTCGTGTCGAGAAAAGTGTTTTTGCAGCCAGGGATAGAGAGTTTAACATGATCCATAAGGCCCAGCTAGCTTTGCTATATATTGGGCTTGGGTCTACAAAGGTGAAAACCCAACTTACCCAATAAAAAGTCCACGTCCACCACACGACATCTCTCGCCGCCATTCGAAGCTCTCCCATGACTTTCAGAGGTGTACGCTTCCCAATCATCCACGTGGCAAAACTTCGGCCGTTTAATTTCCACCTCAGCAAAACTGCATTCTATTCTAGCCGTCAAAATTTATCTAAGACCAATACCAATTTTTTTTTTTTATCTAAGATAAGTAGAACAACAAAAATAGAGAAACTCAATTAAAATGAAAAAGATAAAACCATAAATCAAAATATCAAATAGTGTGAAACAGAAATAACAGAAAGAACTCAAATACAATCTGATTCTTTTGCAATTTGAAATTAGAAAATTTTGAGTTGAAATTTAATGATAATCACTAATCCTAGCCGTCCAAACTGATTGTTTTCAAAATATATAAAGAGATTCTCTCGGCAACAACAACATTCCATTGACTCCTTTTCGCTTCTCTGACTCTCACCTCTCTGGGTTCTAGAGAGAGAAAGTGACAGAGAGCGAGAGCGAGAGGGGAAGATAGAGAAAAATCATATGGTATGTACGTTGTTTTTAATTTTTGCTCAAGTCGTGATTTTTTATCCACGTGATGTTGTTTGAATTATAATTAGCTCAACGGGGTGTTTTTTTTTTTGTATTGGTGTTTCTGTTGCTTGAAGTTAGACCGTTAGAGAGAGAAGATCAAGGTTCCTTAGTTGTTTGCCTAGATATATGCTTTTTTTTTGTGAAGTTGTATGAATTATGATTTGCTTAATTGATTGCTTGCTTTATTATGGTTTTTTGTGAATTGGGTTTCTGTTCTTCTTCTTCTTCTTCTTCTTCATTCATTGCCAATTTTAGTTTTGCGTCACTTTGTGGTGATACTTTCATTTACTTTTACTTGATCGTTGTAATTACTCATAATTAGTTTGGGGTCTGAGTGAGGGAGATAGAGAGCGCTAAAGAAGAATAAAAAGGTTGGTAGATTTTTATAAATTTTATCCTGAATTGAATCGAACCTGTGATCTTTTATGGTTAAAGCGATTATTATTATTTGATTTGGTGGGTTTAGTGTTTCTATTAATTTTTCTGGAGATAGGTGCCATTTTGATTAGGCCTTGTCTGTCCCTATGTGGGCCTGGCATAGTGGGCCCTAGGTGACCCTTAATAGGACCAGGCAATGAGAGAAGGGAACTCTAACACAGGACTAATAGTGTGGACGATTTCTGTACATACCCTTGCAAATTAGAATAAGCTCTCTTAAACCTTTGTGCGAGTCATATACTGAGATGAGCCTATGAAGTCTTTATATTAATATAAATATATTATTTATTAGGGTTCCATAGATTTTGCTTTATTTGAGAGGTTTTTAAAGTTAATTAAATATAAGCCTTGATTAGTTGACTTATATGTTTGGTAGGGTTGTTGGAAGCTTAGAATACAGTTCCCAGTTGCAGTTTTTAATTTTCATTGTGGCTAATACTGGAAGTTGTCTTGATTTTAAGTTTGGTAACAAGTTTATAAGCTTAAGGTCTATGTATAAGCTTAAGGTCTATCTTGAAAAATGTAAAGAGTGAAAATTTCTAATTGCCTTGACTGATTTACAACACAACCATTATACCTTATACTATTTACACTGTGGTTTTGGGAGACTGTGATTTGTTGGAAAGTCTATAACTTTTTTTGCTATTCACAACTTTCAACTGAACAAGATTGAAATAAACAAGGAGGAACTTTCATCTTCAATAGAGCTAGTTTGTGTCAAATTCAGATATCTTGTTGTTTTCAAATATTTTAAAATAATGAAACAAATGGGGTTGAAGATTTCCTTTTTCCATTGGAATGTGTCTCTTGTCAGTGAAATGTGCTTTTCAAATACTGAGTAGTTTTGGTTTAAATATTGTCTTGTTTTCAATATTGCTTAGTGCTGATATGAAAGCATGAACGTTGGGCTAGATTAGCTCAATTTTTCTATGATCCATTTTGCATTTCATTTTATGCAATGATGTTTATGTATGATCTGTATTTTGTTTTTGTTTCTTAGAGTTGAATGCAAACTAAAAACTGTCAATTGCTTGAATTGACTATAGACTATTCTTCAGAAGCCCAGATAATGCCTCCCCCTGAAATGAAGGCTAAGCCAACTACAACCTGCAAAAGTGAAGGGAATTATCCCCATGTGTCCCTGAAGTCAAATAAAATATCTAAAATGCCATGTTCCAAGGTCAGAGTAGATCATGGAACGGAAAATTTAGCAGTATCAAGCCAAACATCTCAAGATGGTAAGCTTTTGATATGTGAACAAATTGAAAGGACCAAAAATAAAATGCAATCCGTTATGGCTTTGATGCAGTTGATTTCATAGAATCTTTTGATATATATTTGGAACATATGGTGCAAGCAAAGCCAATCATTATATAATAGGACATGTTTGATGTAGGTTTTAGCAAAAATGAAGACTCTTCCACGGAGCACGACAATGAAAAAAACCAAACGGTTGTGGCGCAGACATGTCTTTCATTTAATGGATGTTTAGGTTCAATAGAAGAAAAGGTAGGGCTCAGGTTCATCTCATGTCTTTATCTATATGATATGAATTAGGATCCTGGTCTAAGATTTATGGCAATGAACTGTCATATTTAATTAGTTGTCTTCGTAAAATTCAACATGCATGTAAGATGAGTGCAAATTATGATTTATCTGAGTGACCACTTTGTCGTCATTACTTCTGGGGGCAGAAGCATGATGTAGGAAAAATTAAGCAGTAAATGGCTAATGGTTGACATTATTTGCCCTAAATTAAACTTCGGGCTTGACTTTATGTGTGCCTTTGGATGCAAGTTTTGTAATACAAGTTTTGATCTGTACCCTGTTTGTTTGATATATATGTCTACTTTTCTGGATTGTATTATCCTTGTCAAGTAACCTAAGATTCTGTGTACTGTGCATTTATGTATGTTTGAGTGTTGCATCCAATTACTACTATTGCTCAAAACATTACTTGATATCCTTGATTTATGACCATAAATGTGTAAGCAATAAAGAAATATTGCACCTGCATTTTTGTCTTGTAATGTAGTTTTGGAGATGCAGTTGGAATAGCTGGATTGAAGCATATTCTTATTTTATCACTTCATTAACCTTTTTTTTGTGTGGATATCCAATCTAAGATTCAGTTATACCAAGTGGTGATTCTAAATCTCTAGCTTTTTCTTCTAAGATTCAGTTGTGAGCCAAGGCAACCTTGGAATTTTCTTTGCAATGAAAATTAGTCTGTTGCATCATAATTTGGCACTTCTTATATCCTTTAAATATATATATATATATATATATATATATATATATATATATATATATCAAAATATGAATGTTCTGTTTTCTTGACATTACTTATGGTTTGTTTGTGACAGGATTCTTTGCCATTTTCTCTTTCCTCAAGTTCGGAAACAATGTTGTATTATTTTGATGAGCCTAACGATGCCCTTTGTAAGCAATTTGAAGCAGGTACCCACTGGAAACCACACTAGTTAAAATACTGTTCTTCCTTTTCTTGAGATAATAAAGAAACTTAATTAAAGAACTAACGGACAATGCAAAAGTTGAGGATGAACCAAAAGATAACAATATACAAATTGTCAAAGGTTAAACATATCAAATCCTTTCCTTTGCTTCAAACCATTGACCAACACCATTGGCCAAAGCACCATAACTAGGACAAAAGGACAATCCATTGGGTTCTTGTGTGAGGGAGTTAGAGAAATATAATATACGATTAATGCGGCTTTCACCTTGAATCTTAAACTTTTGGGTGGAATTGGTACTTTACAAATCCTAATCAATATAAATGTCTAGTGTCTACTTTAGTTTAATTCTAGTATGTCGCCTGCTGCCCCTTCCCCAGGTGGGCCACAAGCAATATTCTTTCCAAAACTAATGTTTACTTACTATAATTGTATTTTTATTATCAATTTCACTTATAATGCACTTCTGTTTGTAACAATTGTTTGGATCATTGCAGTTAGTAGGGAGCAAATGACTAGGGCATCTCTACTGGATTACAGTAAGTTCTCCAATTTCCAAATGCCTGATGCGTGTGAAGTATGTCTCACTGGGTTTTCCAGCAACGGGGTACCTGTTTTTGATGATATTTTCAACTATAATACCCTTTATGATCTTGGATTTACTGGGACAAATCTGATGTATGATGCCACTGAGGGAATCAGGTTATTTCCCACTGTTGATGCCACAATAGAAGCAACAGATTACCATTATGGAGGATCCTGTGAAGAGTTTCCACATATGTCTGATTCTTCATGGTTCCATCTCATGTGCCATCAGGCCAAGCCATTTACTGAAGAACTTGTTTTCAACTCGGGTCAGTTTGATTCAGACGGAGTAGATTATTCTGATCCAGAGGCATTTGTTAAAAACTTTTTGGAGTTATCAGATGAATTTAACTCATTGCCTGCACTTGTAAGCAAAGAAACAAGCAGAATGAAGCATATTACCCTTGTTCTTGATTTGGATGGTAATTTTCTATCATCTTTGTCTGCTCTTGTGCTTTTACTCATAGATTTTTACCCATTTAATGGGGAAATTTTCTTTAATTATACCATGATCAATCAGCTTCACCACCAGAAAAGCTAAAGATGACAGTTTCCTGTGGGACAATGTTTTATACTTTAGATTAGTATAGGTATCATTTCAATCAAATTAATTTGACCAGCCCAAAGAGTAGTAGGTTCGATTCCTGAGAGTCGTAACTCCTGGATAAGGTAGAGAGGTTCAAACCCAAAACTTGATTAGTCAGACCTGTTAGGGGCTCGGATCAGAAAAAAAAAAAAAAGGTGGATCAACACAAAGTTAAACTATTTAGCACATAGCCATTATATTTGGAGTACCCACCTCTCTGTTCTCGGGTCTTTTCTGTTACTTTTTGCAGTATTTTGTTATCCAATTTTGGAATTATGTTTAGGAAAAATCGGAGAAATCTTTGCTATTGCTTCAGTTAGTTTTCTAAACAAATTTTATGGTACATTGATTATTTGACTAGATCCTTCTTAGTCCTAAAATATATAATATTGTTGGTTCATCTCTGCAGAAACACTGGTCCATTCATCAATGCGGCAATGTGATAATGCTGACTTCACAATTCAAATGTTGATTGAGAAGGAGCATACTGTATATGTAAGACAGAGACCCTTCCTCCGAGAATTTTTGGAGAAAGTATCTGAGATGTTTGAAATCATCATTTTCACAGCTAGTAAAAGCGTGTATGCTGAAAAACTGCTAGATGTTCTTGATCCTGATAAAAAACTCTTTTCTCGACGATTATATCGAGAATCATGCATCTTTCTAGATGGCACCTACACCAAAGATTTGACAGTTCTTGGAATTGACCTGGCAAAAGTAGTCATAATTGACAACACTCCTGAGGTATTTCCTTGATCTTCATAATATTTACAGGTTTTCATGTTCTTCATTTATTTCTTTCTTGAACAAACATTTTGGTGTTATATCAGGTATTATATTGTAGTAGTACTTAATTTGGAATATAATTACTTAAAAAAGGCCTTATTTAGATAATTAATTTGCATGTTTTCATTTCAATATTCATTAAGTTCCAATAGATTATTTGCTTCTATTGGAAAATACTTTCTTCAGCTTACTAGAATTTTGTGGGTTTTTCATGATTAGATGTAGACCTTTTTATTTGTTTGGTCCTTCATTGCTTAGGTTTATGATACTGAAACTTCAACTCTGTTTTCATTTTAGGTGTTCAGATTGCAAGTTGATAATGGGATTCCTATTCAAAGTTGGTTTGATGACCCTTCTGACTCTGCACTGATTTCTTTACTTCCTTTTCTGGAGAAACTGGTTGATGTAGATGATGTTCGTCCCATCATTGCAGAGAAATTTGGTTCTAGGAATTAGTTTTGCATTTGAACACCCCTTGCCCTTCTTTGAAGCATTAGATAGCTCTAATCTTAGGATATTGCATCCTTTCAAATAACCCCTAGTTAGGTTTTTATTTCTATGTTTTATTATTATTATTATTTTTTTATGCCATGTTGCCCATTTGTTAGTTGTTTTAACTCTTCAGCGAGTTTTCACAAGTGACTACGATTCTGTGATAGGCAGATAGTATATAGGTAAAAAAAAAATTGTATATAAACATTACAATAATTTCAAGTTATGGCTTTTGACTATTATTGTTGTGTACACGTTTTTTTTTGAAAAGTTTGTTATTCATGTTATATTTCCCGTTTTTCTTCTACTGCATTATCAATGCTGTTAGCCTGTTAGTTGCTGCTATGTGGTGTCATTTAGACCGGGTTTATCTTTTAGATTATATCTGCTTTATAGTTTTCGGGACACATGGAATTTAAACGCCGGCATCAGGATTCTTGTCATTCATGTAATTATATATTATTTTTTTAACTTATCTTATATATGGAAGATTAACTAATATCTATACTTATTCAAAACAAAGAAAAAGAGAGATGAGTGAAGAGAGAGAATCTGGCAAGGAAGCGAGATGCTACGGCGGAGGAGGAAGATATTCTCCATCGAAGCACAAAAAAACCTAAAGGTCCTGCTATGGAAGATCAAACTATGGATGATCACATGGCAGAGGAGGATATCCAGGTGAATGTGACTAGCAACGGGGAAAAAAGGAGGAGTCAGGTGATTCATCTAACAGGAAGTTGGTGTCATATAAAGATTCTCTTCTTGGTTTTAATGGAGAACCCCATGCTGCTGATAGCGATGAGGAAGATTGGGTAGAAAAACTACGTAAGGAAGAGGACGAAGAAGAAGAGGATGAGGTCTTTGTTACGGTTGATGGTGAGGAGGATCCTCTTTGCCCAACGTACTCTTTTTCAAAAGCCTTGCATTTAGAAGGTTACAGACCTTGGAGACAGGCAGTGATTGTGAAACTTCTGGGGAAGAAAGTTGGAGTTAGATTCTTACTCGATCGTTTACTGAGAATGTGGAATATCTCAGGCACATACGAGTTCATTGATATGGAGAATGACTACTTTTTGTTCCGATTTTCCAATAAGAATGATTACTCTAATCTTTTGGAGGATGGTCCTTGGATCATAGCTGATCATTATGTGGTAGTTCAATGGTGGCGTCCATTTTTTAATCCTTATGATGATGAGATCAGAAAGCTGGCAGTTTGGATTCTTATTCCAGGACTTCCTATTGAATTCTATACCTCTCATCATCTGTGATATATAGGTAGTATTTTTGGTCGCACAATGAAGATTGATAGGAACTCTATCAGGAAACGTGATTCTGGTGAAGGTCATATTACAGAGAGAGCAAAGTTTGCTAGAATTTGTGTCGAAGTTGATCTTAGGAAAGGATTTTTGTCAAAATTCCGGATTGTTGATCGTATCTTCCACGTTGGATATGAGGGTCTCCACTTAGTTTGTTTTGCTTGTGGAAAGTATGGGCATAGAAGGGATCAGTGTTCTCATAGTAATCTTCAACAAGATATTACGACTTATTCTCCTGAAGTTTCTGACTCGGTGGTGCATAAGCAGCCAGAAAAAGATTCTGTTCCGGCGAAGGAGGAACCATTTGGGAATTGGATGCTGGTGCAGCGTAACCGTCGATCAAGGAGCATAGCACAATCAAAGGAGGAATCATTACCATCGGGTAGGAGACAAGTTGGCGTTGTTAATAATGCAGCTTTACGTAATAAGGCAGTTTCCAATTCTGATCCTAATCACAGATAGGTCATTCAATCAGGTTCTAGATTTCAAGCTATTTCTGAGTCGGCTCAAAAGGATAATAATATCTTAATTATTTCCGATTCTCCAGTGATTGATTCAATCAGCATTGAATCTGGTCTGACACGAATTAATCATGGGGAATTAATTGCTCGTAATGAAGAACCGTTGGTGAAAAAGGATATTCAAATGGAAACAGTTTCTCCATCTGCTAACCTATCCGCGGGCAAGTCGAGAAAAGAGGTCCAAAGTCAAGGAGTAAAATTCAAAGAGAACCAAAAGAAGAAAGCAACTGCATCATCTGCTAAAGTTCATCAGCTGGTCCAGAATGCTAATATTAGCAAAGACAGATTAAATGCTTCAAAAGGTGCAGAATCTTAAAAGAATAATTTTAAACTTGATTCTCAGAAGAATATGTCGGAGGATTTCCAAGATAGAAAAATTGTCTTGCACCCACCCTTCTTTATCTAAATTTCAGAAGAAGACGTCTCATGTGGTTAATGATCAGCAAGAGACTCTTCCTTCTTCTAGTGGCTTGGATAATGGAGGTAAACATGGAAGACCACCAGATGCTCTTACGTTAATGAGGAATTTTTATCAAACTCACAAGGATTCTATCCCTTTGGATAATTTGGACGTTTTGGGTGCGACTTTGGTCTATACCAATGCTCTTTCTTAGGGCTGGTTTCTGTTCGGATAAATTTAAGATTGTTTTTATGAATATTTTGACCTGGAATTGTAGAGGGGCTGGGAAAAAGAGTTTTCCGCCTCTGATTCAGTATTAAAGTTATGGCTTTGTTAGAAACCAGATTGAGTGGTGTTATGGCGGATAGAGCTATTCGGCGTTTTGATTTTTCTGGTCACTTTCAACGTGATGCTGTTGGTTTTTCTGACGGTATTTGGGTGCTTTAGAACACTGATGAAGTTTCAGTGGATGTTCTTTTTTCTCATCACCAACTTGTTCATACTAAAATTTGTTGGTTAAAAGAAAATAGAGAGGAGTTCATGACTTTTATTTATGCAAGTCCGCGAAGACAGGAACGTATTCTGCTGTGGTAAATTTTGTCTTCACTGTTTGATCAGTCCATGAGGAATGCGGCTTGGGGGATAGCAGGTGATTTTAACACTTATTTGTATGAGTATGTGAAGCTAGGTGGCAATGGGCATAACTGGAATAACATGAGGGAATTTCGTGATTGTTTAGATGAATGTAGCTTGTCTGACATTCGCAATCAAGGTCCTATTTTCACTTGGCAAAGAAGAAATCTTCAGGAACATCTTGATAGGGTTTGCGCTAATGATAATTGGAACTTGGTTATCCCTAACCGTGTGGCTTTCAACTTTCCTTTCTTAGGCTCAGATCATCGATCAGTGTTATTATGGGAAGGTCAACCTGCTATTTATCCGAGAGGGGAGCGTCCTTTCCGTTTTCTAGTGTCCTGGTTAACAGAGAGCACTTTTCATGAGGTGGTTAATGGATGTTGGTCAAACAATGTAAACTGGATGCATGCTATGGAGACATTTCGGATTAATGCTTCGGAATGACATAGAAATGTTTATAGGATTGCTCTAAAAAAAAAGAATGATTTGCATGCAAGGATTAGAGGTATTGATAGATGTCTTAGTTATCAGTACAGTCATAGCCTTGAGATATTGCAAAAGGATCTATGGAGGGAACTAGACAAGATTTATCTTCAAGAGGAAATCACTTGGTTTCAAAGATCGAAATTGAATTGGTTTGCTCTTGGAGATAGGAACTCGTGTTTCTTTCATTCTGTGACGGTTGCCAGACGTAGGAGGAATCGCATAGATACGTTGAAAAACTCGGAGGGAGTTTGGATTGGTGATCAGCAGGTTTTAATGGAAATGGTTGTTTCCTTCTTTGAAAATCTGTACACAAAAGATCCATTACCTAAACCGGCTTTTCCAGTTCGTGGCTTTTTTCCAGTTATTGAAGCGCATGCTTTAGACACGATGAGTATTACGCCAAACAGTAAGGAGATCAGAGATGTAGTCTTCTCTTTTGGTCCATACAAGTCGCCTGGGAAGGATGGGCTTAATGCTCTTTTCTTTCAATCTCAATGGGATAAGGTGGCTGAGTCAGTTATCTCTTTTGTGAAATGTGTGTTCCTTCATCCGGATAATAACAAAGAGGTTAACCAAACTTTGATTTGTCTAATTCCTAAGATTGATGTGCCTGAATTACTTAAAGATTTCAGCTCTATTAGCCTTTGTAATGTTATTTACAAGACTGTAACTAAGATTGTGGCTAATAGGCTGAAATCTCATATGGCTCACTTGGTTATGCCTAATCAATGTGGTTTTAATAAGGGTAGACAAGTGTAAGAACCTGCACCGTTAATAAAAGAAGTTAATTAATTAATTATGTGAAATTAAAAAATAATTCCATAATTGACCTTAATAATTATTATGAGGCTTAAATAATTATAGTAAGTGGGAAATAATGCTGAAAGCCACTTTTCGGACGAAAAGCGCAGATAGCGGTTCTGCTACTCGGTATAAATGTGTACCGAAAAAGTATCCCGGAAAATTATAAAAAGTGCATGATAAATCCTAGAATAATACATAGGACTTGTAAAACAAGTTTCAAGTTAAAATAATGAGAACTGGTGCCAGAACTGATACTGGCTATGGAAAAGCGCGTACTGGAAAGGTGCTGCGAAAAATAAAATAAAAATATGATAAATCTTAGAAAATTGAGTAGGTTAAGAATCCTGAGTTTGGGATTAAAATGATAAGCATAGAAATTAATGTTAATACTGTGTGTTTAATTGTTAAGTGGCTATATATACTCTTATTTGCACAAAACCCTAGACAACTTCTTCATGCTACGTGACTTGTTGAGGGTGGCTGACCAAAAATACTGTTCTATTGGCTTCTCTTCTCCATTTCTTGAGGTTTGAGGTCATTTTCTTCTTGAAAACTTCTCCTAAACACTTGTGGTGAGTGAGAGTGGGCATTGGGAGTGTGTTGGTGGCCTTGTTCTGAGTTTAAGGTGCTATTCTTGTTGTGTTGAGGTGCTGACTTGGTTGTTTGGGGTTGGTGGAGCCATTGTAATGGCACTTGGTGCTCCAAGGAGTGATCTTTGAGTGCAAAGAACCCACCTTTGTTTATATTTTCGTTTTCTTTTCAAGTCAGAATCTTTAGGTCAAGTGAGCTCCAAGAGCCTTCCCTTGCTGAGTTTGAAGCCTTGGGTAAGTGTTGAACCTCTGATCATGAGTTTTGTTGAGTAAAAGTGGAGTCTTGCCATGTTTAATGAGTTAAACAAGTAACTAACTGGTATGTGGACTTAAAACAGAATAAAAATGCATGCTTTGACGTTTGGAAGTGTTAAAAATGGAACCTTGGATGGATATCTTCGCGAAATGCAGAAGCTGCATTCTCTCGCGAAATATCCGGATATGTATATCCGGATATAGATATCCGGATATGGTATCCGGATATGGGGTCCTTTG